CTTTGGGATGTGCCTGTCATGAGCACACCTCCTACACTCCATGATTTGATTCGGCTGAGGGGAGACTGACAGGTTGGGAAAGCTTTTCAACACGTCTCACATTTAGAAGAAGTAATGGAAGAAAGAGCTTCATGAAGGTTTAACATCTGTGTGTTGATAGGCAGAACCTCTTCCTCCTCTAATCTCCTGCGTTGAGCAGCCCTAGCCCTATTACCAGCCAGCCGTTCCTCTCTCTCAGCAGGATCCTCTTGTTCTCTCCTCAATGTACTTAGAGTTCTTTGACCTGCCAATCGCTGTTCTCTCTCAGCAGGATCCTCTTGTTCTCTCCTCAATGTACTTCGAATTCTTTCACCTGCCAATCGCTGTTCTCTCTCAGCAGGATCCTCTTGTTCTCTCCTCAATGTACTTAGAGCTCTTTCACCTGCCAATCGCTGTTCTCTCTCAGCAGGATCCTCTTGTTCTCTCCTCAATGCCGCCCAAACTCTATGAACTGCAAGCCTCTGTTCCCTCTCAGCAGGTTCCTCTTGTTCTCTTATCCTTCGTATCCTGGCTCTTTCTTCAGACAGGTGATCTTCTCTGACAGAAGGAGACTCTATTTGTTGTCTTCGGGCGCGACGAGACCTATCTCTAGCATTTCTCTTGTCCCTCCTCCCTCTTTTCTCTTCCTCAGTCTCGCTCCTTCTTCTCTCCCTATCACGCTCGTTACGAAGAAGTCGACGAGCTTCACGAGCATCTTCTTGTGAAGTACTCATAACTGTATAAGCTACTGCTTCTCTAAGAAATAACGATGATTAATGACTTGTTTGAAGTTGCTTGACTTGCTTCACGTGGTACTGTAATTATTATCAAATTTAATTTTTTTAAACATATAGGCCTAATAAATTTTTATAAACGTATAAATAGGGTTGAAGTACATGTACAAACAGACATACATTATACATACTCTTGTAGTCGTTTATGTGGTGCTTGCCCCATTGCCCCAATCAAGTACCGTATAGCGGGTTTCTTCCGTTTGGTCAAACTTTCGTTCTTTTCGTTCTCCAAGCTCCAAAAACGAAAATTAAACCCACGAAATTTACTGTGGGAGAGCTCGATCCGGAGTTCATCAACACTAAAACATGCACACGTGGGTGTTATGGGTGGGGTTGTTGGGTGTGGCTTAATTCTTGCAGATCAGAAGGACAAAAATAAAACCCACGAAATTGGATTTCCTCCTAGAAAACAAAAGTTTGGCCAAACGAAAGAAACCCACTATACGGTATACAGTCTAAAGAAAATGAAATATGTGAGCAGCTTAGGCCATTGTGGAGTTCACCAGTCACTGAAAGGATAAGAGTGGTGAGGCGGTAGTAATTTTAGTAGACTTCAACAGAGCCATGCACTACAAGATGGTGGAAGTTCTTTTAGTTTTCAGCCTCAAACGGTACAAGCTATGAAGGATTTATTCTCGTTGTCTAGACACACCAGACCACCAGATGCACCAGTTGATAATTAGCTTCCGATATAACTAAACATGCTGAAAAATAGCTGTGATCGTCTAGTGGTAGCCATGACCGTCTAGTGGTAGCCGTGACCGTCTAGTGGTAGCCGTGACCGTCTAGTGGTAGCCGTGACCGTCTAGTGGTAGCCGTGACCGTCTAGTGGTAGCCGTGACCGTCTAGTGGTAGCCGTGACCGTCTAGTGGTAGCCGTGACCGTCTAGTGGTAGCCGTGACCGTCTAGTGGTAGCCGTGACCGTCTAGTGGTAGCCGTGACCGTCTAGTGGTAGCCGTGACCGTCTAGTGGTAGCCGTGACCGTCAAGTGGTAGCCGTGACCGTCTAGTGGTAGCCGTGACCGTCTAGTGGTAGCCGTG